AATTTAATTTTCACTATTTTATTATTATTTTTATACAACTTTACTGTAATAAATATATTTTTACCTTATCCCTGTGCTTTTAATCTGTAATTTTGGAAGATAATCATCATATAACATCATAAATTAAATAATTTCATAATTATAATGTTATATGGAATATCTAATGTTATACAATAAACCCTTAAAAATATAGTATTTATGGACAATAGATTAAGTTTTTATGATATTTAAATCAATTTAAATGCTAAATATTTTTTAACTTACTTCTCCACCATGTCCATCAAATACTGCAAACAAAGATACTCCTGTATTATTCATATCTTCATTTACAACAAAACGATCTTCCATACGAGCTCTATGACCTTGAACAGCATAAGCAGCAATATATCCTTGTTTTAATTCCCAGCTAAGTTTCACCCCATTATTTACAGAATCATTAACTAAAAACTGTAGTTTTGATACCTAAAAAGAAGTCCTTCTACAAATTTGCTTCTCCTTTGTTATTTTTTATAATATCTTCAATACGTAATAGCTAAAGTAAACCTAATTTTTCTGTTTATGTAATAAATTATCATACAACTTAATTTAATTTATGTACTTTTGATGTAGTACGCCCAAGCGTGTATTGAATTTTTCCTAATAATGATCGGCTCCATACGTCAACTGCTTGTATGTAAAATAGAATTATTGCCAAAACTGCACCACAAATTAACACTTCTGGCTTCAATGCATAAGCTCTCATGATTCTCCAAAAATAGCCCAAAGGAGTGTTTATCCCAGCATTTAATCCAGTAGGAATGCCCACTGCAAATTTTGACACTAGCTTCATGTGTGATACATATGTCTGTTGTACAAATAGAAAAATATACAATTAATAATAGTGGTAAATTTTAAACTGAGAGTATATACTCAAACATATATAATTAACAAATACTATTTGCCATCAATTAATCAAAGGATACACTTATATTATATCCTACTTACAGTATATATTACAAAAATTCGAAAGCAGTTAATCGAGGCTATTTTCGAATACGAATCACGAGATATCGAAATCGTACATCGAACATATAACAAATATTTTGGATTCGAAGTAAATTTTTATAGAAAGAAGAAAATATTATATTTAACTATTTCTGTGTCACCTGATATAAAATCCTGTCTTCAAGCTCGTCATCCATAATCTAATGTAAAAACACTTTGAATCAAGCCAGTTTTTTTCTCAAACCTAAATATCGGTAGGTATTCGATAATTATTTATAAAAGCACAGAGCTAGTCGAGCACTGAACATGCATAAAAATTGCATTAACTAATCATCGAAAACTCATATGATCGTTCGTTCGAAATATTTTCAAAAATTGCATAAAACGAAAATCTGCAGAGTTCTTGGCAACTGCAGCAGACGATACCAAATTACCAACGTTACTGTAGATAGACGTTCGAGATCACGCCGCAGTTTTAGACCCGCGATATTATTGACATTCCACAATATATTATTCACAATTAACAGGTTTAGTTTATATATAAGATTCAAATATTTCTTATTAACTTTGTAATTTCTTGGAATTTCTTTTACTTCAACTAATATTTGTTCGTAGACGATCTAATGTAATAAAAAAGAAAGTAATAATAGCAATAAAAGTTAATAGAATGCAAACTTGAATTAAAAAATGTTTTGTTGTCAATATATTATAATTTTAAATCAAATATTTAACAATTAGAATGTAATGCACCATTTGTTTAAATATTACTTTTACATATTTAATTTAGATTTTTGAGATTATTTGAAAAATAGAAATAGAAAAGAAAACATTTTTTGATTGTTATAATTCTAACAGAAAAAATGTACAAATACTATTAACAAATAAGAAGTAAAATTATCGTAACATTAATAAACTAAATTTACAACATAAACCAAATGGAGAAAATGAAAAAAAATTCGGTTATTAAATTGTTTTCGAGAAATAATTACCGAATTTCGTATAGTATCGTAGATGTCTAAATGCAACGTGAGGTAGGTCTACAGTATGATTAAATAGTATTCTGTATGTAACCACATACACTGGATATAGTTGCAGCGATATATTACACTGCAAATTGCATAGGGAGAGCTGTCATGCATTGCTACGACGTGAGCTTAGAAGCCGCGTAAATATGGCCGCGGTAATAATGAGCGGTTAGTATTGTTGAGTGTAATGAATACGCGTGATGATTACGATTGTTCTCGTTGGCATACGGTGATGAGATCAATGTGTCATCGGCAAAGATGAGCGAAAGAAAGTTTACTCGTGGCTTGGGTAAGCCGGGCATGGCCGCCCAATTACGAGAGACTGTCTCTCAGGTAGTACGCGAGAGTACCGTACAGGTAAGTTCGCTGACATCCTTAACTCGTTACATTTTGCCGCATGATTGTATGCAGAAATGTTTGCATTGTCTTTTGAACAATAAGCATGTAACAATTGATAACAGTGAAAATATGTTCTTCCTGCAATCATTTAGTGGAACGTTCATAACATCGTTAATTCATTATTCATGACAATTAATGTCAACTAAACGCAAGGTTCACCATAAATATTTCAAGCTAAAGAAGAGATAAAGTAATGTTTAATTGAGTTCTTATTTGTAGTTTTTAAATTCTATTTGATTTTTTATTTTTCTTTGCAGCAGCCTTGAAACATGAAATTCTGTTTTGAGAAGATAATATTATTCACATTGAAACATGTCCATTTATGGTATCTTGCAGTATCCTGACTCATTGTTTGTTAATTATTCCCTTGAATTAAGAATAAATTATGTCATTTTTAAATGGAATTATTTAACCCATTTATTATCATAATAGGGATTGATAAATTGGTGTTTAACTTTTAAAGAGTATATTAGAACTTTCAATTTATATAGATTGTAGGTCATTCATTTAGCTTGTTATAAATCTTTATTGCTTTAAATTATTTGAATAACTTTTGCTGAGAAGTGGAAATAAACTGAATGAATATATGTGTATAAAGTATTTTGTTTGATCTGTTACTATTTATCTCATGAATTAATTTTTTTTATTTCAGAATAAACCACATCTAGTAGAACCTATAGATTTTGAAAGTTTTGTATTAAAAAATAAAACTTTGTTACAAAATGACCCTCAAAGAGAGCTTCTATTATATCCTCAGGATGATGTTTCAGTGAGTTTTAATTCAGCAATATCTTATCTATTATGCAGAATTTACATCCGTTGTATGAGTAGATAAATCATTACATGGGTTCATACACAGGATGTTAATAAAATTGTATCATTTTTGAAATAACATTTTATTTAAAAAGATATATTTATC